CGAAAGGAGTCGCGACGTTACGGATGGGTTTGTCGGTTTTCTCCCGCTTAAGAAACGACGTGTTTGTCGGCCGTCGAAGGGAGCCCATAACCTGTCCGACTGGCTGCCACCGCCTCGACAGATATACTACGAAGCCACCACCAACCACCGTCGCTGGGCTGTATAACGCGGGAGAATGACGTTGGTGACACCGACGCCACCCTGGCCGGGGGAAAAACTTCCCGGTTCGATCGATGGATCCGTCAAACGGATTTCGAGGCCGGGATTATTTATGGGTCTCGGTCGTGAGCCTTCGGGATTCTTTTTGGAGCGGCGCGAATCTCGCGGTATGCGTCGGTTTTTCTTTCGTTCCTCGCTGGAAAAATTGGGAGCTCGACTTCCGATTACAGTTCTAACTCTACGAACGGCGTCTCTCGATCTAGTCTTGAACGTACGCTTCTCGACAAATCCTCTGGCGTACCTTTCACGCGACAATTAAAACCGCAACCTTGATACTGGCTGGGAACTCGCCTGGATCTATGAGACCGTAGAAGAAACGTTTTCCACGTATCGCTCCCCGATCGATCAATATTCAACGTGCATGTTAATGGGCAATTAATAGTCGCGCGGTCTCGTATCGTCGCATATGCGACGTGCCGGCAGGCCGCGGATCGGTTTTTTCGCGAGCTAGGTTTTGTAATATCGACGTGTCTCGGGTGGTGGACCTCATTCGTATGCAGCCGTCGTGGCCGCGAACGAGCTTATAAGTAACGCAGTAATGACACAGCCTGTCATGGCGCGGAACAGTTTTCTCGGCTCCCATTGTCGTTAACCGGCCGGCCCGGAGCTGATTTATCGGCGCCGCCAGGGAAATTCCGCGCGCGGATCTCTCGCCGGCTGCCGGCCTGCCCTGTCCGCCTGTCTTGTTCCCCGCGTTTATCTGCCTACGTCGTTTTTCAACGATCTAAATACGAGCGTCTGGTCGATGTCCGAGCGTTCAGGAAAAGAGATTTCCTCGACCCCAACCAGAATACTTATTCTTCGTTTCTCCGCAATAAAACGTGACAAATATTTCAGATGTTACAGCAATTGGAGAATTACTTCAGAAAAGACTGTGTTTTATCATTTCTGAGGAGGTTGCACGTTTTGCATCGGTTGAAACTCATTCGTCACTCGCCAAGACTAAATTTAATGATGACAGTATACGTCGATAAAATAGTAATAAAAACGGGCGTATCTCTGCTCATACTAACATGCACCGATATGAATATATTCAAAGCACGTATGTATCCGCCTGTTTACAAGAATCCTGATAAGGCGATAAGAAACATTTCATATTTTTCAAATCGGACGATATCATTCATGTACTTAACTCAACTTATTCCAATTGGATTCGACGACTTTTCCATCGCTGGCATAATCTGACGTAAATATGTTATCGCAATTTACTTGCTTGATCATCGGCAAACAAACTATCGTGCGAAATGAAAAAATACTGAAAGCGTATCCGAGTTGTAATTGATAAACGAAAGATTTCCGCGGCGAGACGGAAGGGATAAATATTCCCGACAAATTATCGTTGCAGATATAACCGCGTTAATCAACGAGATAACGACGCGTGCCGCAGAAAACTGTCCGAAGTGTAAAATCGAGAAATGATACGAGCGTCCAATTAAGACCGTTCGCGCCCGACGTATCCTTCTACTTATCCTACCGATTCTCTAGTACAGAACGGCGTCTAATGCCATCGTTAATTAATCACGAATATTTATTACGCGCTCACGTGCTCACTTGCCGCGGCCCATCTCCGGGGCAATTAGCGAAATTATTGCGCGATGGAAAGAGAGTACAAAGAAAAAAAAAAAAAAAAATACGTGCGATTCTCTTCGCGATTCACTGGCCCGTGTTTGTTCCTTTCACGTTCCTTCCGGCCGCGAGACCACTGCCAGGCGTCCACTGGTGCGGTCGCATCCTCGCGATAATTACTTCATTAACGCCTCAAATACGTTTCTTCCGTTTAATCTATTTTCGCATCGAGCACCGATTTTTTTATCTTATATGCGAATTCTGTCTTCAGATGAATAAAATATATGTTTGACGAGCGCGGAATGAGAAAATCTGATGTTCAGTTGAGGATTGGGAACGGAAGAGCAGGAGTTTCCCGGGGATCAACCGAAGCGGGATCGTTCTTCATCGACGTTTCGAGGTCGCCGGACGTGGACGACACGGTGGACGGATGGACGACGACGACGCGACGGTAGGACGAGTCGAACAGCGATAACGACAAACTGGCCCGAGAAAAACGACGGCCGGCCGATAAATCAGGCCTATTGCATTCCTAAGATAGCGCGCTCGCCTGAAAGTCATTACGCTGGCAAAAGTAATTCCCAACTAAGTAAGTAAAGCAATAAATACATAATGCATCCGGCGAGTTTCCCACACGCGTGCTCACGCTGACGCTGAGCTTGGTGACCGCGTTGCTGCCCCCTCGTGCGTCGCGATTCCATGAAATCATGCATCAGCCTTTACCCGGGGACCACGCAGCGTGTCGCGGATTTATTAGCACCGACGACGCGGTAGCTCGTTTCTTTTTCGCAATCCTGCCGGCTCGATAGAAACGCGAATGGTATCGTCTTCGATCAACGGAATTCGAGGGTGCAACCCTTGATCAGGAAAGACTGCGAAAATCGCTTAATTCTCTAGCGGATCTTATTCACTTATAAAGAGAAATGCATAATTGAATGCGTGTATAAAAAAATAATTACATGCAAGAATTGAAGACGATCTATTATGCAGTTCACTTCCTTGAAAAATGTATCAAAGAATTTAAATAATATCTCGTTTTCACCGTTGTTAATTAATCTGAATATCTTTTCGGATCAATTCAAGAGACTGGTTTTATATAAGAAGGAAGGAAGATAGTTTAATTAAACAAACCTGGCACAGCCGAGCTGAACGCGTAACAAATCAAAAGCTGGGAATCTGAATTTACCTAATTAAGAAGCCCCCCCCCGGAAATTTCTCAGTTAACCGAACCCCTTTTAATATTGCATGAGCGAGAGGAAAACGCATCGAGTTTGCATATATACACGCGGTCATCCGAAAAATTTCAGCCACGCTTCTCACGGCGTCTACCGATCTTTTTACTTTCTTTTTCTTCAGGTTCAAGGCACTTGGAAATCGCACTGCGTGCGCCCGATCCAGAGTTTCCACTGAAATCGTACGTAGTTCCGGTGGCATCGACGGTGGTCGAGAATGTCGGCGAGACGTGATGTTAGGATGGACGGAGGGAGGCTGCGTGCGTACCCGATTGAAATCCGTTCGCGAATTTTTTGCAGGACAGCTGGAGCAACGTTCGTTGTTTGTAAAGGAGTTTCTGTACTTAAGGAGAATAATCCCGAACCGAGCAATTCTTTTCGATGATCCTCGAGAATGAAACCGCGATTAACGACTTTACTTGGATTATTAAGATACGGATAACATCGACGATTAATTAAATTTCGGTGAATCCCTGTTTAACGATGCTTAATCGCTGATATCGTTAATAGATAAAGTTTAAACTCCTATTTGAACAAGATTACGTGGCCGATAACGGGAAAAAAGTTACACGGAACGTCGTTAGTGTTCACGATCAAGGCCTCATGTACGTGATGATAATAGCTCAATTTCTACTTTTGGGAGCGGGACGTTGAACGAGGAGAGCAGCTGGATGCAGAATTTCAGGGGAAACCGCTATTCCAACGTGAACTTTGTGTTATATTCTAATTAATTAGCCGGTTCGTCTGGTTTAGATCGTTTCACGAATATCGAGATAACTATTTATGAGTTTACAGACGAGCGAGCGCTGCGCAGTTTTGGCCAGAACGCACACGCGTACACTCTCGTTCACAAGTCGTACTGATTGACAAATAAGTGCAATTTAAATAAATAACAAATTAATATACAAAACAATTAAAATCAAATTAGATAACAAATCAATATACAAAACAATTGAAATCAAATTAGAATAGTGGACGTGTTATCGACTCTATAGACTTTCTTATTAAGTTTAATTTTTAATATAGCCTCGTATTTTGATAAATTAAAATGGAGTCATTCAAAACAGTAGCGTAATATCAATTCTTTTATTGAAATTCTTAAGGGATGATTTATACATCGTCGAGCAGACGGTTCTAGCTTTGGCACTTTGCACAGTGGAAAATTTATTTGAGAAACTGTTCGAGTTATGAACTGGAGTGTACGTGTACGTGTACTTTACACGTACAGGCTTGATAATTTATATGAACTTAAGCCTGTACGTACACGCATCCACAAATTGCGTTATGATACATCCTTCGCGTCGCTCTGATTAGCGCGGCCACGTCACTGCACGCTAATTATGGTGGCTCGTATTAGCTTAAACTTCCTCGATTTTCAGCATAGTTACGTCTCATTGTAGCTTTTATTTGCCTTTTACGGGGCAATAAAGTATCTTAGACGCCGGTGCGTACCCGCCCTGCTCCGTAACAAGCCCGGATAGTAATTAAGGGATATACAAACGCTGTTTACACGCGATTCCTCCCGCAGGTTCGCCTAATTAAGCAACGACTACATTAAAAAGCAAACATCGATGCCAGCCCGATCGAACCCAGATCCCAGACCGTGATTCTACCGAGACGTGTGCACGCTCGCAACTTTGTTGCGCTGAGACCTGCCAAGTCATACATTATATACAAATCTCTACACGCGGTCTCTAAACTGGCTCAAACAATGCTTTTTACCAAATTCTAAGCACCGAACGATAACAATAACTCGACAACCACGTCTGGGAAAATTTTTTTGCAAAGGAAAATATTGTTTAAAATCACTTCAGCTCCTCCTCGTTTTCGGACGTAGTATAAATTCTGGGACACCCTGTATGTTGTTGTCACGTGCACATTAGACGAGAAGAATAACTACGTGAAAATTATTCGTTGCGTTTCTGTTTCTCCGTCGCTCTGAATTTTCCTTCACGTGTATTTTCATTTCAGCCGCTTTGTGAAATGTCGATGGACAGCGAGGCGACGTTAACGGACAACGAACGGAACCGAGTGGACGACGTCGAGAACACCGAGAGCGACGCCGAGGTGGAGATAATAGGAACGCGAAAGCATTGCTCGCGGTGCCGAGAAGTAGGCAAAAGAATGATTTCGCTTTTAATTAGGTTATAACAATTGCAAAAACGGCCGGTACGAAACCTGTGAATCAACGGTGTATTATTCCATCGCATATAAAATCTGTTCACCGCGAATTGCATAATTGATTATATAAACCTTTTTCCCCCCTCTTCCTTCTTCGTACGTTTTTTTCCTTCTCATATTTTTTTCGCGTTTTACGTAATCTTCGCCGGGTTATTATTAAGGAGACCCCGTCGACATTTCTCGCGGAAGCGCACGCGAAATTATCTAATATCCTGCATATGCAACGTCCACGAAACCGAGAGATCGCGCGCCGCGATTGTGCCGAGCGAAATCGTTTGCGATATGAAAATCCGCTTTTCCCGACCTCAACAAGGTGAAAATCAAGACCGAGGTGCTGGACGAGATCGAAAATTTCTCGGCGAACGACGAGTTAGACGACGTGTTTGACGCTCCGTGGGAAACCGACGTCAAATATGAGGAACGTAGGAAGAGGAAAGAAAGCAGCTTCTCTTCTTTGGTCAGGAGGGAAATCGCTTTGGAGTACGTCGATTTCGAGGGATACATCCAGGCACTGACCAGTGGGAAACGATTGCTCTGCAGCGTTTGCAGGATCGAGTTTCCCGACGAAGCTAGCTTCAAGACACATATGGTGGGTCACAGCCATGGGAAACTATTCCAGTGCGGTCACTGCGCTAAACAATTTCTACGGTACATCTTTTCGAATATTTCCACGATTACTTTTACTAATCGTATCAAAAATTGTATCAGATATTTTTTCTAATTAAAGATCCTCCACCCTGAAGGATCATCTCAGGCTTCATGGGACGGACCTAGGTTTCATATGCAGATACTGCAACCTGCGATTTCAGGTACTCGCGCAGCTTAATTAACGATATACAATACGTAACTGATTTTATAATCTACCTATTTCCAGCAAAAGGGCCAGCTGAAATCGCACCAGGCGAAGGCGCATTCGATCCGCAGAGAGCGAGCACCGTTCGAGTGCACCGTTTGCAACAAGAAGCTGCTCCATCGGCAATCGTTGCGCGATCACAAGCTGATGCACACGAACGTGAAACCGTTCGAGTGTTCCATCTGCAAGAAGCGGTTCCTCAGACCGGGCAGCCTGAGGGCACACATGATCGTGCACACCGCGGACTCGCCGTTCGAGTGTGACCTTTGCCACGCGAAATTCAAACGATCATCCGTGTTGAAAACGCACAAGCTGACTCACACGGGCGTCAGGAAATTCGAGTGCGATATATGCAAGAACCGGTTCCATCTGAAAGGAGCACTGAAGCACCACATTCTGTCGCACTACGGTGACCGTCTTTTTTGTTCGTCATGAATTGAATTGAAAACGGAGAGACGCGCGTAACAGAGGCATTATGTCAGGAGTGATAGAAATTCTGATGAAAGTAGATAGACAGATTCGTTTCGAGCGTACAATGGCTCGGAGTTAAAATCAATAGACTAATTTACAATCCAGCCAGACGGTGCAATGTGAATATTCTCACAAGCATAAAATACAATGTGAGCGCGGAAGGAAGGAGCGTCTCGAAACTGCCTCTCCGCACGAAGTCTCCTTCCGTCTAGGCTTTTGCATTCTCATACGCGCATGTAAATAGATGAATTCGAGGCCGGGTATTGAGACATAAAAATCAGTAGATAAGAGTGCGGCAACGGCGAGTTATGGTTAACAGCGTACTACCAGCAGGTCGGGTATTAATTAGAAAAATCAACGAATACGCGAGCGGGTGTTACAAGGCTGCCAATTAACCCCTCGAGGCTTGTACGCGTACGCGATGCCACGATAGGACGCGCAGTTAAACGGCGATAACGTTTCGGGTTGTAAACGCTGGAATATAATGCTGACAGAAGTTGTTCGAACGAGCGACAAGCATCCGCACATCTAGGCTCGTCCGTATTACTTATTCGGTTCCTCCTTTTGTTCTCTCGTCCAACTTTTTTTTATGACTACTGACAGCTGGAACGGAGGATCAATTAAGGAAATCACGCTGTTCCGGCTTCCGGGTATAAACCATGGTTCGCCAGCGTTGCAACTAATTTCGCGTAGGGATTCGTTCGTTGCGCTTGCTCGATATTACAGCAGCTGAAACGGGGATCGTAATCACTCGAGTTCCACGATATCTGAACCATCGAATCTTCGCTGTTACGTAAGATCGCGATACGAGGGTGACGAGCGGCATTAAAAATTCTTCGTTCAATTTTACAGGGGTGAGACCGTACAAGTGCGAGGACTGCGGCAAGTGTTACAGGCGCTCCTGGGGCCTGAAAGTGCACAGATACCGTCACACGGGCGTGAAACGATTCGAGTGCGACCTGTGCAAATCGCGGTTCAGCGTGAAGACAAAGCTGGCTAAACATATCTACGGGCACATCGGCGAGAAACCGTACAAGTGCAGTTTCTGCGGTCGCCAGTACGACGAACGCTACCAATTGAAAGCGCACAAATGCGGGAATCCGCTGAGGACGAAGATCGAGCGACCCTGCCGAGAATCTGTCACGCAGATCGTGTTCTTCCGTCCGAAGTTCACGAGCACCGTGCTCGATTGAAACGTCTAACATCGATAGACCTCGTTAATTTCCACAGAAAACGATTGAAATGTATATAAAACGTTTGGCAAGTTCCTGATTCTAAAATAAATCATGTTTCCTTTATAATTGAATCGTTATTAATAACATCTTAAGATGTACGAATGATCTGATTCCGGGGAGAACCTCACTGACTTATTGCTACTGCTCGGTCACGTTTGCGTCTAATGGAGGCTTGGGTAATCATTATATAGCTCGCGGTCGCTATTCGGTCCGTGTTTGCATGCCCGTCGAGGGTCAATAAAGAATCAGGCTTAATAAGCACTCTGCCGCGGAACAAAAGTCCGATTAATTTCAACCCGCGCTCACTTCGATTCGTACTTGCCCTCGGACACAAGCCATCACGATTTAGGCTCGTCGTCGAGGTGGCTCGCGTAATCATAGTGGTCGTCCGGTATCGTCGGAACGTGATCGAATTCATACTTAATTGTTTCATTGAACGCGGCTTCGTCGGAGCCTTTGGCGACTTCATGATCGAACAGCGTAGAAAATAATTGATGAAATTTGTCTAAGAGATCTCGAGGAATCGAAGGCCGATCTTAAAGCGTTTCCAGAAGTTGAAGGCACGCGATGAAGATGGAAGGAACGCGGCTAGGAGGCAATGTGACTCGGCGGCATTGTCAAAGGGTTTGCTCTGGGTAGGCTCGCGAATCACAGATGCAATCAGATAAAGGGCGGTTCTTCTCGGATTACCGTATGCGAGCCCCCGCTGTGTCCACGCACCTTAAACTACCATTCTCACGTGCGGCGACACAACCGGGGCCCACGTGCTCTAGATCCGAGCCGCAGGACGAGCGGTTCTCATGCCTTATCACGATCAAATTATATCGTTTCAACCCTCGCGCGAGGGTGAACAGTCGAACGAAACTTAAAAGACGATCGTTTCACTAGCGGTATTGAAATGAAACTTAAGTTATTGCGTAAACCGAACGAGGAGGGTGAGACACGGAGTCCGCGGCTCTTTTCTTCGAATTTTCGCAACGTTTTTCATCGCTTCACACGTGGCGAGCATCAAGATTACGCAAAAAACGAAACGTCGAAAGCGCATCGAGGCTGAGTCACGGGTTCGACCAGGAAGCGTTGCGATTCTCGCGTATGCTTATCCCCGGTCGGCACGGTTTTGACACATCGCTTCCTTCGACGCCGCGTTACCATTCAAATGCAGGAGGATTTCGCGTTCATATTTCTCGCCTAATTATGCCCGGCTCGCGGAATCTTACGATCTGACAGTTCAGTTGCCGCGTACACAGACCTTATGCAGAGTCACGCCAACTTCTAATTATTTAGATAGCGATCGTTCGGCTTTAATTATTTCACCGTCTCCACCCCCGTCGTTGCTACCATCCGTCCTACGTCGTCCGCTCTCTCTCTCTCTCTCTCTCTATCCTAGTTTCATACACATAGTTGCTCCATTCGTTAATGCATGCTAATGAGCACCCTCGCATGTTAGTTTCCTACAGATGATTCCTAATTACAACCCGCCGCGTTGTTACGATGGAAACAGACGGCTAATCTGTTTCATGTACTCATATCTCGCGTACGAATGCAACGGTACGAGTCAGGACCGTCATTGAAAAACTATTTCATTAGAGCCTCGCTTCATTCCCTCGGTTCGAGAGAAAGAGACAAAGATAAAATGGAAGAAGAAGAGCGAGGAATATTAAATAACGACGATGTCGATTAGTATTGACAACGGCGATTAAACAGGCCAGCCGGTAATGACCGAGCAGCCCTCGCGAGCATTGACCACTGTAATTTCACTGATAATATTTAAATACGGGCTTTTGATACCTGTCTTTCCCGTTGCTTTGGCTGGCATTAACGCCGGACCCTGAAGGCGCCCGTCCACGTCGACCCCGTTCCCGTTCCACCTGCCTCACTCCGCCCCTAAATGCATCCGAGCCGTACTATTTATCGACTCGGTCCCGTCATTATTTCATCGAACTCTTTCATCGCCTCTTCTGGTTAATCGACGCGACGACCCATGAAGCCGAGTTCGCAGACTCTCCGTTCGTCTTTCGTATCTGAAACGGAAGAAATTGAAATATTTCGATTATTCCGGATAATCGTTTAATGAGAGAGGACGATGAACGTTACGTTTACGCGTTATTTCGTATAGAACATGTGCCGGAATTATACATACGCGGTGCGACCTAACGGCTGCGCCTTTAATTAGCGCGACCCCTGAGATCGTAATCGTCATCGCCGTCTAAAGTTAACGCGTATTTAATTCATAACAGGAGAAGGATTGGTGGAACGTGAGAGAAAGAGAGGAACAGATTCGCGCAACGTTCCGGGTAAACAGGTGAATTAAAAATTAATTGCAATTAAGATCAGACAAGCGGGTCTTCTCCTCCCGCTGTTATTATTAATTCTTGTTAATTGTAACAATACCCAGAGCGCTTTGCGCAGTGTGCGCCCTCGTTTATATCGTTATAGATGAAAAATGGAGCATTTAAACGAATTATAGCTGCACGTATCGCGGATCGAGGAACACGATTACCGGAGGAACACCGCGATTCCCAGCCTGTCGACCGTCCAAAGCTTTATTCTTCCTCCGGCAAAAATGATTCAAAGAAAGATTCTTCTTGCTATCATCGACGGCGAGTTTCCTACGGTGATAAAGATTTCTCGGAGCTACCTCGGCCAATGGGCATCGACCCGGACGCGACGTCCAAGGAGGACACGCCGTTTAATGCGGCAGCGCAATTATGCGCTCTCCTCGCCGGCAGAAAAAGATGACGGATGCGCGAGCGACGCACCCTCTCGCGCGGCCGGAAGATATGAATTTCAAATTCCCGATGCGATTTTTGCTCAAGCGTCGAAAAACTACGTTCGTTCAAAAATGTCTCGGAATCGAGCGAAGGCAAGGAACAAGTCGACACGTACAGTTGTCATAGTTCCGAATGTCCCAAGCGATTTAAGAACAATAGAATCGCGTTTGACTATTCGACGGAAATATCGTTATACATATACAGGGTGTTTGCGAAATCGTTTGCGTACAAACGAATTTTCAAACCCGATTTTCTCGAAAATCATGCCCTCTATAAAAAAAACTATATTCCTTTCGATTAGATTTTATGTAAGGAATCATCCTTTGCCGGTTGTACGCAAACGATTTCGCAAACACCCTGTATATAAGATGGAACGATCGTGTAGAATCGTAGCTAGGGATAGCAAACGGTTTTTCCCGGACCGTTTCAGACACCGGCTATCTCAGACAGGATGGGCGTTAACGGTTCACGGTCACCAGACGGAAAAATGTCGTGCGGTTCGTCGCGAGACTTTATACTGAATGAAACCAACTCCGTGGTCTCGTTTTGCGTCGCGATCGTGTAGCCTTCCGTCTCCGACTGACAGGCTTAATATATCTGTCCGCGACGCGTTTCATCTTGAACAGTTTAGCTATATAATCCGGCCGCTTAATGCGGCTGCTGATTCAATTCAATGAGCCAGCCGCGAAAAAAGTTTTGATCGGTAAACCGCTCGCGGCGACTCATGAAAATGTCTTTAATTCCGTTCGATAAGGAAATGATAATGTACGTCACATTGGAGAACGTGTACAAATCGTGCGTCCTCATTGTCGAAGAAATATTTTATAATATTGGAAACAGTTCGTAAGGCTGATTATTTTTGCTGAACAAACAGGTGTCTAGCTCGATCCTGTTGAATCGGACAGAAGCAATCAACATACGATCGTTGTTCGAGTATGAGCATTCGTGGAAGCTGGAATCGGACAAATTCCTTCAAAAGAGGGGACCACTGTTCTCGTTTACATATCGGCCGTTTGAGACACACCTAACGCGTATTCGAACGATTTGGTCGATCGGAGGGACGACCGGGAGGAATAAGCTTGGTCCTTCTTGCGAGCCGGCTCGCTGGTTCGATGTAGGTAATCATGCGCCGCATTCCCCGGGTGCCGGAGAAGATTTTCGGTTTCATTGTACGCGAGGGTGGGACAGGGAGTGGACGTTGAGAAAAGGAGGGAAGCTGCGAGTCGACGTCGAAGAGAGACGGAGAGAGACAGGGAGAGGTGTGTAGGGGGCGAAAGAAGCTGGATGAAAAAGGGCGGAGGGGCGGGAGGGCGTAGAACGAAGAGAGAAGAAGAGTGGAAAGAAAACGAGATGGTAGTCGAAGCCCGAGCAGATCCATCGTCCGGCGGGCTCGGTGGAAGCAAACGACGCAAAAACTGGCGTGCATTGTCCCCGACCGAGAGGGAACCGATGGCGACGGGCGACAGAGAAAGGAGCGAGACCGCGAGAGAACCGGAGGAAGCTATGTTCACCGGCTGGATCCATGCATACCAACCTTCCCGGCAGCATCGGCGATCCTACCGAGAAAAGAAGAGAACCGCGAGCTTCTGTTGCTCCGCGAACAGCCACGAGAATGGTAAGGAGGAGACGAAGACACGGCGCGTCGCGACGGCTACCACCGAAGAGAGACGGGAAAAGGCAGCGGCACCGCGGCCGATTTGATTTTTAAATGCAAACAAATCTACATCGTGGCAAAAGCACCGCCGCGCCGCGCGCGCTCAGAGGAAACCGACGTTGTTCTGCTACCGATCCGCTCGAGCGAGACCTCGTCAGAGCCTCGACTCGACGGATATTTTTTTCGATCATCCCGAGCGACCGATTCCCTTATTCCTCTTCTCCCCTTTATCCTACGGTTCTTCTCCCGATCGCGAGAGGATCCCGGCTCATCTCCTCCCACGGCGCGCGACGAGCCGCATCGCGATTCTTAAGTGGATCGACGATTTGTCGACGCGCCGCCGTCGCGCTGCGGCGTGTCGACTTCCTCGCGTCTCCTACGACTTTTCTCACTCAGGAAATAAACGCAACCGGCGAATTTTGTATATCCACGGAACGTACGATGCGCCGGGTTCGAATCATTTTCAGATCGCGATAACGAACATCGAGATGCTGACTTTCTTCCCGACAAAGAACCGCGATCGTTCGTGAAAAATAAAAAACAAAGGGGAAGCGGACAGAGCGAAAAGTTCGGGCGGATGCCGCGTGTTC